GAGTAAAGCTCCCTCTACACTGTCCCCCATCAAACACTCCCAGGACAGGGACAGCACGGGGTTAGATGCTAAGTGCTGCTGCAGGAGAAGATGATTTAAGCTGACATGTGTGACGTTGTCCCTGAACAGAGTGCCCGCACTGATTGCCTTTACCCATTTCCTTTGTACCCTAGTATTCTGGGCTGCAATGAGAGGAAGATGCTATACAGACACTTTGAAACCCCAGCTGCTACTGCTGTGACTCACGATTGTGATCCAGCCTCCAACCACAATGAGCAGATCACCCCTGTCGCCTGCTGATTCTCGTGCGGAGTTTTACAATGAAATCTTTGTCATCACTGCGGGTTTGCCCGCTACTCTGTCTATCCCTGTGAGTTAATTAATTTGCTTTTTCACATGGAACTGCAAATCTGTGGAAGCGAGGAGGACCATTCAATGTTGCGGGAGCCTTTTGGCTGATTGCGTCTGTGATGGCATTTTGACAGATCCATTTTGTGCCAGTTTGTACCAGTCTCTCTGTCTTCCAGAACCTTCCTCCTTTACAGGTGTTCTTCCAAGTACCTTTTGAAAATTTATTTTTTTTAAATTTCTTGTGGGTGTCGCTGGCTGGACCAGTAATTATGGCCCCATCCCTAATTGCCCCAGGGGCAGTTAAGAGACAATCACATTGCTGTGAGTCTGAAGTCACATGTAGGCCAGAACAGGTCAGGACAGCAGATTTCGTATAGTCCCAGAGGTCTACAACACAGATAAAGGCCTTTCAGCCCATCGAGTCCACTCCAGTCCAAAACAAGCACCTCGCTATTCTAATCCCAGCACTTGGCCCATAGTTTTGTCATCTCAAGTGAACATCTGAATACTTCCCCAATATTATGAAGGTCTCTGCCTCTCCCACCCTTACAGGCAGTGAATTCCAGATTCCCCCACCACCTTCTGGGATAAAAAATATTTCCTTACATCCCCTACCTTAATTCCATGCCCCGTGGTCATTGATCCCTCTCCCTAGGGGAAATGTTCCTTCCTGTCTACTGTGTCCATACCCCTCATAATTTGTTACGTCTCAATCACATTCCCCCTCAATCTCCTGTGCTCCAAGGGAAATAGCCCCAGTCTGTCCATGAAAATTTTCCAGCCCAGGCAACATCTCGGTAAATCCCCCTGGGGAGGAAGAAATGACACCATTTACCCCAGGACCATGACTTTCCCTAAAGGGCATCAATGAACCCGATAGGATGTTATGGCAGTGGTTACATTGGAGCAGAATTTTGTTTTCAGATGTTTTTCCAAAATCAAGTTTCCATCCTCTGTCATCATCCTGTGGAGAGAAATCAGAGTTAACGTTTCAGACCCTTCCTCAGAGCTGAGAACGCATTCTGAGGAAGGGTTACCAAACCCGAAACTTTAACTCTGATTTCTCTCCACAAATGCTGCCAGACCTGCTGGGCTTTTCCAGCAACTTCTGGTTTTTTTGGTTTCTGATTTACAGCATCCACAGTTCTTTTGGTTTTCATCCTCCGACATGCTGGGTTTCGAACTCAAGTCCCTAGAACATTCCCCTGGGATCTGGGTTACTAGTTCAGTGGCATTATCGTGACACCATGACCTTCCCTGTTGAATCAGCTTCCATTACCCTTTCAGGTCTGAAGATCACAAGACCTCGTGTGTAACTATAATTCCCTCACCATCCCTGCTTCTTCTCTTACTGATTAACATTAAATCTGAATCCGTCCAGTAACCAGCTCTCCTGCCGCTGGGTACAGTACCTCCCCATTCACCCCATCAGACTGTGCAGTATTTGGAATGCCTCAGTATTTTGATGCTCGAACAGCCATGCTCTGGACTTTGAGGCATCATCATTCTCTTGGTCAGTTTTCCAAGGTTTGCCTTGCTCAGTGAAGAAAGAATGAGTCCATCTCTGAACAGGCCCTTCCTGTAAATTGAGCTCAAGACATGGAGTTTGAAATTTTAAGATTTTGCATCGCAGGACGTGAATTAAATATTAATTTAGAATTTGCAACGCTTATTTAAAGTATAATCAAAATGATGGCCTAATCTTGTGTTTTAAATTTTGAATTCATTCTAATTACAACTTGCACCCTCTCTCTCTCTCCACATTTTAAAGACAGGAGAGGGAAGGTTCCGAATGCATTTTAAGAGATAATGGTTGAAATAAAGTGATTATTGATTAAATCTCACAGCGTTTTGTACTCGTTAATTAACCAGACACAGGACCATACCTGTTTGGTAGGAGACATTAAACGTTGGTACCAGAGGCACACTGAGGAAGTTCAAAGGTGTCAGTCATAACTCACTGAGTTCCACATTGCCTCAGGGTTAGAGGGTTGTAGAAATTCCACTGAGGTACTGAGGGAGCGCCGCACTGTCGGAGGGTCAGTGCTGAGGGAG